CTGAGTAGTGAGAGTCAGCCCCCGAGAGCCCATGAGCCGCAGCCCGAAAGTGATTGCAGCTCAAGGGCCAGAACCAAAGAGGGTTCGCAGCAGATTCCAAATGAACCCTATCAGCGATAGAATGAATGGGAAAATAAAACAAAGCCACCCTCACGAAGGAGCCAGCACAGGAGTTAGCGAAGCAGCTAACGCAGGAGTCAGGGTGAGGGCCAGCGAGTGTACAGGAGCGAACGAGAGAGAGTAAGGGAGAGAGTGATGGCTCCCGGACCCCCTCCTCGCCTCTGCCCCGAGCATGACGTACTATGGAATGAAATACTCCCTTGGTCAGTTGGGGTCAGGTGCCTGAACTGTGTGTCCCAGCACTGCCTGTAGCGAGACAGCGAGAGCTGGGAACGCAGCTGCAGGATCAGAAGCAGAGAAAGACCTTGAATTCAGTGCAGGCATTCCCCAGTGCCAGCTGAGACCTGATCAGTGCTGCTCTCTGCATCCAGGAACAGCTTCCTAGCAGCCACGGTAAAGAGAGTTAACTCTTTCCTGACTGAACCCAGCACAAGCTAACAGTCATTATTGGGTTTTCACACCCTTTGCCCAGATGGAGTAACAGCCATCATGTGCCCAAAGGTGATTTGACATTCTCTGGAAATCCAAGGAAGTGAAAGATAATTCAGGTTTATAGAAATGGGTATGTAGCAATGTTCGGAAGTTGTCTGACTCAAACCAGCCTGTGTCCTAGGAGTACAGGTGAACAGTCCAAAGAAAAGCGGTAGCTGGGCTGAGGTTGCTGCTGCAGATGCGGAACTACAGACCTTCCCATCCAGTGCAAGCCCTGTTTGGATGGCTGCTGTGCAAGAAACTGGAATCAGTGAAGAATCCAGAAGGACACTTGGGCGACAGGTGGAGCTGCATGGTTACAGACTGCAGCCCTCTCAGCACTGTAATACGGCTGCAAACCAGAGTTACTTCTGCTAGTCTTTACCATCACAGATCATGCACAAACCATAGTAATGATCATGTTTCCTTATTACTGTTGAAAACTATGGTTCAGATTCTTTCTAAAGCTTCAAATAACATGTTGACTTATGCTATATATTAGTACATGGTATAATACTAGTATAGGGCATATATACTATAGTTTGGGTAAGCATGTGTTCTCTTAATCTTCAGGAGATTGTCAAAGGATGTAAGAAATTTCCCTAAGTGTTTGAAAGCCAGGTCTGTAGCAGGAACTATTGGCAGGAGTTTCAGGCCTAACTTGATGATTTTTCCTTGAACAAAATGCCTATTGCATATGCATATAAAATGAAGGATTTTTGCCAGTTCTATGAATGGAATAACCTACACTGACAAACAACAAATCTAGATGTGATGCATCAACAAAAGTTTAGAATGTGTTGCTTTCAAATGCTTAACTTTCTCTTCAAGGAGTCAAATTTGCACTGTGAGTATGCACTTCATTCCACAATGTTTTCAGTGCCTTAAGAAAGAAATCATACTCACTTTCCGAGTGTATTCATAGCATAATTTTATTTAATATCATCAAACAACAGAAATCATCCCCTTTGCCATAAATGATGGCTTTGTTATTGCCATCATGATGAAGCCATTCCTGTGTTACTGAAATATGTAGGACTTCTGCCACTTTCAGCAATGCAAAGAGGACTGGCATTTGTGTTTCCACTTTGGCTAACAAATTGATCTGGATCATAATACAGGACTGATTTTTTAGCACGGCATTATCTCTGTCAAGGTGGCTTCTCCTTTATATGGAAAGGTCATGTTTCGTGTTGATAAATCTTGTACATGTTGAGCTCTTGGACTCTGAGATGGGCAAGAGATAAGAAGAAATTTTAACTACTAATTTAGATAAGTACTTTCTTTCCTCCAAATGCAAAGGTGAAGACATCACATTTTCTTCTCCTATTAGGAGTCAGATATTCAAGTCAGTGAAGTTATTTTATATTACTGAAATACCTGATCAGACTCTTCATCCCAGTGGGAAAAAAGGGTTCCTGGAGCGAAGAGCATCAAATAGCTTTCCTTGGTGTTAATACCAACACATGAAAATTAACTTCACTTTAATCTGTGATCCTTTAGTCATGTGGTAATCTAACAGAGAAAGTGAGGAGAACCTAAGGGATATAAATTAGTCCTATAATTTACACTGTCTGAGAAAATGGTCTGCATAATTGCAAATAGTATAATTCTTAAAGTTTACAAGTTGGAAGATTCTCTTGGAGAAAAAAGTCCAAAGAAAAGGTCTAGGACAGTTTCCTTTGTTCTGTCTTTATGGTAAAATCCAATGAGAGGCTGAGCAAGAAGAAACGAAGAGTTAGTATCAGACCATATCACTGTAGTTATATTGCACTTTTGTGCCCGTTAATATGGGCACAACACTGCAATGCCAACATAACATAGTTTCTTTATCCCATAAAGAAACCACATATTTCTGTGCAACCATGGTTACTTCTGCTCAGCACTGACTTTTATCAGATAGGTATATCATTACTACCTGCCAGTTCTACTAAATTCTATTTTTCCCAAGGAACAACTGGGATTACATTCTAACAGTATTTTTAACTTTTTCCAAGGCATTGTGGTCAGAAAATAACATTCCCTAAAAGAAGAGATATTTAAGGCACAAAGAGCAACCTTAGAATCACAAAATCATAGAATGGTTTGGGTTAGAAAGGACCTTCAAATACCACCCAGTTCCAACCCCCCTGCCATGGGCAGGGACACCTTCCACTAGACCAGGTTGCTCAAAGCCTCATCCAGCCTGGCCTTGAACACT